TTTCACTTACAGAAGCTTTGTCCAAACTGTGTGTGGAGTTTACAGCACACCATTTCTTGCATAAAACAAGAGCTTATAAAATCCACTGTGCTCATCTTCTGCTGTGCTGAAACCATCTGTTCTTCTTCTTCCACTCGCTAAAAAGTCCTGGATTTTCTCTAACTCATTTTTTTTTTTTTTCTGGTCTTTCTTTATCATTGATACCAATGTAATCTTCAGCATCTCCTTAGATTTTGATATAGCTACTCATTATTTTTTTTTCCTAACATCTCTATTTGACTTCTCGGACACAATCTTTGCCTAACATGTTAGTTTCCTATTGCTGCTGTGATAATCACCACAAATTTAGTGGCTTAAAACAACACAAATGTAAGATATCTTTTGTAAAATAATAGAAGTTTCACGGGGGCAGAATCAAGATGTCAGCAGAGATGGTTCCTTCTGGAGGTTCTAGGGGAGAATCCGTTTCCTTGCCTTTTCCAGCGTCTAGAGGCTACCTGCAACAACAGAACCAGTCCTTCTCAGATGCTATCACTCTGACACTGACTCTCCTGTGATTACATTGGGCCCGTCAGGATAATCCCAAATAATCTCACCATCTCAAGATCCTCAATTTAATCACGTCGACAAAATCCCCTCTGCCATGTAAGGTAACATATTCCCAGGTTCCACAGATTAGGACTTGTACATCTCTGGGGGGTCGATATTCTGTCAGCCATACCTAATTTGCCTTCTTTTTCTCCTAGTCCTGCCACCCCTCGCCCTCCCCTAATCCCCACAGCTAAAGCTTAGTCTCCCAATCACCTTGCTTCTTAGTCGTTGGGACTTTCAGGAGCTTAGGTCTATGCTCAGCTTCTCTAGCTTTGTCCTGGATCAGACTCTGACATTGTAACCCGATTTTAGTAACTGACTTCTCGTGTCTTGCCTCAAACCCAAGCTCCCAGCTTTATGCTCCAGACCTAGTACCTGAATCCTGGCGTGATTCTCCTGTACCCATGTCCCTGCCTGCTATCTCAGTTCCTTTAGAACTAAGGGGCAGCCTCACAGGCAGCAGCCCTCCAGAGAAACAGTCCTGCCCCAACTCCAGGCCTCCTGCTGGGTCCCTGCTCTGAGGGTGTTCAGGCCATGAAGGGCTTTCTCCTATGGCTTGTGACCATGCTCCTGAGACCACACCCACAGCCTGCCCAGCCTCTAATGATCAGGACCTAAATTACCTTCCATGTGGGAGCAGATCTCTCTAGCCTTGCAGGTGAAAATAGCCCAAGGAGCTTTTAAAAATCTGGATACACAGGTGCACCCCACACACAATTTAATCAGAATCTGTGCGGGTGGAAAGCAGCATTAGTATTTTTAAAAATTCCTCTGTAGATTCCAATTGGCAGGCAAGACTGAGAACAAGCAAGCAGAACACGCTATACCTTGAAGTGTGCTCTGCATACCAGCAGCTTTAGCATCACCCGGGAGCTTGTAAGCAATGCAGAAACTCAGGCCTCCAACCCAGACTTACTGACTTAGAATCTGCCTTTCAACAAGCTCACTGAAGTGGTTTTGAAAAGCTCTGATCTAGCCAGAGCTTCGAACTAGCTCCTTCCAGTTTTAACCCCTGCTGAGGATTTGCATTTCTACCCCAGATATACTGAATCAGAATCTACAGTTTAACAAGATCCCTAAGAGATTCTTATGTATAAACTCCTGGGAACTTGTTAGAAATGCAAATTCTCAGCAGGGGTTTGAACCAGAAAGAACTAGTTCTGAAGCCCTGGATCTAGCCCTCCCATCCTGTCTGAGCCCTGGTTCTTAATCAAGCTTGTTTGTTGTTGTTGCTATTTTTAATTGAAAGCGTAACACTACTAAAGAAATATTTAAAAAAAATAGATTATTAAGCATTTAACATGTGCTAGACAGAGTGATGAGCCGTGGTAGCACAGTGGTTAAGTGCTCAGCTGCTAACCAAAAGGTTGGCGGTTCAAACCCACCAGCTGCCCTGTGGGAGAAAGATGTGGTAGTCTGCTTTATAAGGATTACAGCCTTGGAAAATGTTTGGAGCACTTCTGCTCTATCCTACAGGGTCTCTGTGAGCTGGAATCGACTCGACGGCAGTGGGTTTTGGGGACAGAGTGGCAGTGATTTATATACACTGGCTCATTTAATGCTTACAATAAACCCTTCAGGCAAAACGCTCCCTAACTGCCACATTCCTGCTTGGTTTCCCCTATTCTCTATCTCAGCAATCTGTAGCTGTTTTTTTTTAACAGCACTTACTAAAATTTATGATTATTCTGTTTACTTTTTCTGCCTTAACTGCCAAACTGAATGTTCCACGAAGGTGAGGACCAGATATGTCTGTCTTGTTTGATGGTAAATCCGCAGTGCCTGGAACTCAGTAGCGACTCAATGTTTGTTGAGTAAAGGAAGTAGGCATTGCTGTTGTTCCTATGTGACAGGTGCGGAGACTTGCCCAAACGTCACGGCTAGTGAGCATCAAGGAAGCACAGGAGCCACCTCTGAGCCCAGCCCACGCTCTTCATCACTGTGCTGC